AGAGAACCAGATTTAGTGTGGGCGGCCATCTGCCTCGACCGGTTGGGGTGAGATGAGATAAATGGGGAAGAGAGGAGAGCTTTATCAAAGAGGGGCGAGAAGAGCTGAAGAGGAGAGAGATAAGGAAGAATTGTCTAACTGACTTCTGTTTGAATTAATTGGGAGAGGAACCACAACCATAATTTCAACAATAAAGAAATACAAACTAGGTTATACTTTTAGGGGCATTTTAGGTTTCACAACATCACCTCAGAGTTTGGGAAAGTGTGTTTTTGTTCTTCTGTCACTAATGGACAACTGGTTGTGTTTTTTCTTTGCCTGAATATTTGCCATACACTTTATTTGCACCATACTCTCTGTCTGATGTATAACTGCCTGTAAATACCATACTACTCACAGAAGCCGTATGAACATTGACCTTAACTCAGTTAGTTGGAATGTCAAGGGCCTGTCTTTTCGGTTTGTCTGTGTAAATTGTGAAATTCAATAAAAAGAACTTTGAAAGAAATCTTTCCCAACTTTTTCAGGATCACTCAGCTCATGATGCTTCTGCAGTCTAGTTTTTATGAGCTTAGTGTTATTGGAAGAGTTATACTTAGTGTGACTCCAGTGTGTCATCAGTTTGCCATGATTCTGGATCATTTGAGCAAGAATGCTCAAAATGTTCTGACCCTACAATTATTTTAGTAATTTCTTCATTGTTTAACAATAGTGCAGTGCCTGTTCTAAAATGCTTGTTTGGAATGGGCATTTTGTGCTCACTAATGCCAACAAATGATTATTAAAATATAACAGACCTCCAATATACTGTAATAGGGCTTTATATACAGTGGATGGTGCAAATTGCTAAAGAGTAAGTGATTCTATGAATGTTGCTTCCATGATGAAGATATGCACCCCTGGTACTGTCTGTGTCAGTTTGATGAAATAAGAATAACAATTTTGAACCCCAATTTGACCACTGTAGTTTATCAGAGGAGTGGTAAATGGTGTGATTTGTAAAGCACTTTTCTAGTCTTGATGACCACTCAAGTTTTACATTCACGCACTGAGAGACACATTCATGCAATGCATCTATGTACAGCAGTCTCTATGAGAAGGAGCAATTTGGGAAATACAGGGATTGAACCACTGACCTTCTGTGAAGAGGATGACTGCTCTAACCCCTTAGCCACAGCCATCCTGTGCACATTTTTAAAAGAAGTGTTCATCATGCCTAGATTATCTGCACAGCTGTCCTGTGGCTTAAGAAAACACTTTTACTCTGTGCCAACCTCACTGACTGCTTCAGAGTGCTGGCTGCCAAGTGTGAAGATAATAAGATCTTTTGCAGAGTTTGTGGAATTTGTAGCTTTGTATAATGTGTTCTGTAACAAATGAGTGAATAGCGTTATTCTCTCTTGTTGATGATATAAGGTACCAAGACTTTCTCTATGAAGCATTTTTGAAAAGCACTGGAGTTATTATATCATCCTGTTGGTAGAAAAATACAGTTTACCCTTACTTGAGACATTATCTGTACAAAAGTTAATGATCTGTATAAAATTAAAATGTTCATCACTCTGTTTCAATGCAAAATACAGCATCACAAATTTATAAGGCTGTGACGCAGCACAGATCACATAGCTAGGCCTGGCTACTGACCCAGTGCTACCATATATGCAGTTGCCTGATGTTCCAGGAAACCTGGAGCTCGGTAGCTGCAGTTAATGTGTGTTCTTGAAGTTGCTCTCTCTCTCAGTTTTAAAACAACACACAACACGGTGCCTATGACTTTCCTGCATTCCTTTCAGTGAGTGAGGAGGAGGGGAATGAAAATAAAAATATAGGACTGGAAAACTTGAGCTCTATTCATAAATGATAGCTGCTATTTTTAGCAGAATCGAGTGACTGCAATTCAGACAGTTGCTGTGCTGGGAAGGAACTCCCTTTATGGCAAACAGTCTTGTCTTAAGCTGAAGGATACAGTGAGCAGCAAACTGACTACATGTTTAAAAGAGGCTGGTCTGATTTGACCACATAAGAAAAAGGAAATCCGAGGAGGCACCATTTATTTTCACAGTTCCAAAGGTCAAGTCATTTGCACAGATGTGTTTACACCTTATCACTTTATCCAGCTTAAAATCACTTGAGAGAGTCTGAAAAGAATCGGGTGAGTGGTGGAGGTAGGAATAACCTTCACTTGGTGTACGTATTTGACTTTGGATTGGTTGTGGTTTAGGAAGAAGAGTGGGCCATCTACTTATCATGTCAAAGTGTCCTTGGGCAAGACACTGAATGCCAAATTTACCCTGATTATATGAGTGAAATATAAGCTCTAAATGAATGTGTGAGTGTGACTTCAGTGGTTAAAAGTAAAATATAGTCTATTTACAGTTTATACAAGACAAAATACACTGCTCAAAAAAATGAAAGGAACACTTAAATTACACATCAGATCTTGATGAATTAATTATTCAAGTTGGAAATATTTACTTATGTACATTGCATTATTTGTTGAGAACAAAATGACAACAACGGTCGATGGAAACCAAAATCATCAACCCATTGAGGACTGGAATCAAAACCACACCTAAAATCAAAGTGAAAATTGAAATCATAGGCTACTCCAACTTGCATGAATTCATCACGACAACTTATAATGTGACTCAGTAGTCTGTATGGCCACCGTGTGCCTGTATGCACTCCCGACATTTTACCATGCTTCTGATGAGTCAGTTGGTGTCCAGGGCCATCTCCTCATAGAACTGAAATTTTAATTAAAGTAAATATATAATTGAATATGGATGAATGTTTGATTAAACTGTTTATTTATATTATATCAGCATGTATACTGACATGACCCAAAAAAGACACAGGAAATATTTCAGCCAGTGATTGACATGGTGCTCATGCTCACGTACTCAGGGGCAGATATTTCATCTCATTGTTGGTGGGGAGGAAATAGAAAGAAAAATTTCTCAAGTGCAATTCCTGAGGGGGCCAGTGTTCCTTATTAATCCAGAAGAAATTCCAATAGTATGGAAGCAACACCCATAAAGCAAATAATATTAATCAGATTAAGTTTTATCAAAGAAGCAGATCTAAAATATTTTTAATTCAATATTATTTGTATAGTTCCAAATCATAATAGACTAGGCCATAAACCCCAACATTCAAATTTGACTCAAAAACATGGTCAATTACACCATGCACACACTCGTCATTCTAGCCAGCATCGTCTCTAATGGCAGATGAGACCAACAGACCCTTAAATATAAACAAACCTAAACTGTCCAGCAGTTTCCACTGGTGTTGTGGCAGCTCAGCTCAGCCTTCTCTCCATGTGTCTTTCTCTATCTCGTTTGTGGCTCGTGTGTTTTTCTCTCCTAGGCAGCTCTCCTGCTGCCTTTTAATACATGGAGAGTAATTGGCCAACTAACCTCTGCTGTGTCAATAAACTCTCCTGGAGGTGCTCTGACGTGCTACCTCCACAGTTTCTTACCTCTTCTCTTGTTTCACTTCCAGTACTTGTGTGTTTCCTGCCTTTGTGATAGTTTATCCCACCCCTGGTTGTGTGATACACCTGTATCTTGTTATTCACCTTCAGCTAGAGTATTTAGTCTATGTCATTCATCTGTTTGTTGCCAGTATGTTATAATTCCTTGTATCTCGTGCTTTCCTTTATGTTAGTCTCAATGGGTTTTGTGACCTTTGCTCATTTTTTGGACTCTTTAGACCTTTTGCCTTTGCCCCCTAGGCTCTGTCTGACTGACTGCCTGTTATAATTCCTTGTATCTCGTGCTTTCCTTTATGTTAGTCTCAATGGGTTTCGTGACCTTTGCTCATTTTTTGGACTCTTTAGACCTTTTACCTTTGCCCTCCAGGCTCTGTTTGACTGACTGCCTGCCTGTTACTGACCTGCTTTGCTTTAAAGGTAGTGATATCGAGTGTTGAAGTTGCATATTGCAGCTGAACACCACTGACCTCACCCTCCCCTTCCAAACATGAAAAAGAACCTGTGGCAGCCTTCACTTGTCATAAAAACTTAAAAGGTGTTTAGTTTGTCCAGTCTGGACTAATGTAAAAAACATGGCGCCCTCCTTAGAGAGGGTCCCCTCGATGTAAATATAAAGTATTTAAATATAAAGGGCCTTTTCTGGGGTAAAAAAAACTACAATGCATACAATTTAGATGAAAAAAACTAGTGATTAATGAGGATTATTCTACATTAAATTTCTGTCAATAGTTCCCTTTCACCTAAATCTTACACACTGTACCTTTAAAGGAGTGTGTTTATATAGAACTGATCTGTTTAAAGTCATGCATCTGATTCCAAACTGTGTTCCAGTTATTAACTTTACTCTTGATGTGAATCTAATGTCCAAGTGAGAGTCTCTTGAGTTGGTCTGGACCTTCATCTGGCCCCTTGGTAAAAAGTCTGTAGAAAAGATTGAGCCGATGTGAGAACACAGCAAAAGATCCAGGATTGTCCGAGAGAAAGTGGGGGGATTGATGAAGTTTCTAACATACTACAAACGCAAAAATGAAACAAATAACAAACTGTAGAAAATAGAATACAAATATCTCAGAATGAAAAAGAGGTGCCATACACAAAGAAGACACTGGCATAGAGAGTTTGTGGTGGTAAGAGCCGACACATAGGGATAATTCAAAACATTATGTCCTGCCTCTGCCTGGTCCATCACCCCTTAAACTGAATCCTTCTGATGATTTGTTGCTGTTGTGAATGCATCTGACCTGAGAATCTCCCACTGTGTTGTGCATGTTTCAACAGCAACCTCTAGATTAAATTCAATTCCTCTATTCTGAAGAATAGAAAAGAGGGGACACATATCACTTCCTTTAATGTTTTGTAAATCATCTAACTCAATGAATCTTGTTCGAAGTCCCCTCTTTAAAGCCTCCATTATCATTTCAGTCTTAGGCAACAGCTACATTATGGCACACACTTTTTGACAATCATGATCTCTCTCTCTTTCTTCTCGCCTCCATTACAGCTGAGCCTCTGGTGAGGCAGGTGAAGAAGACTCGCATCAAAAGGGAAGACTTTCACATCCTGAGAGTGATTGGTCGTGGCACATTCAGTGAGGTGAGCATGTGTAGAGCAGGTATCCAACTTTTTAAAATATTTTGAATCAGTACGATCTGACAAAGAATTGATTACAAATGTGTCTAGCAAAGTTCAAATATTTATTCAGGTGCTTTTAGACAATTACATTTGCACTAATAATTTCTAATTTGATAAGAGGTTAATTGTTTTTGGAACTGAAGCTGTCTACATTGGCACACCATTTTTTAAAACCTACTGTGTGGATTGTGTTCGATGTGTTCTGTGTGTGCTCCGTTCCCACAGATGGGTTAAATACAGAGGTCAAATTTCCCCATGTTGCATGCTGTGTGTGGGACCATAAAAAGGAATCTTAATCTTTTTACAATGTCAAACAAATGTAGCCTGTAGCTCAATGCCACTCATTGATCATATTGAAGAAAAGAACATGCAGTATAAGTTTAGATGTTATTTTAACAGTACAATAAAACAATGCTGTATATTTTGGTACAAGAAAACCTACAGTATACTCCATTTCTCTATTACAGTAAAACACCTTACTAGGTGCTAGTTCAGGCAGCTAGTTCAGGCAGCCAACTCAAGCTCCGCTGCTCCAATCATGTGACACACATCATGTGACATACCTCATTCTCCACAATCATCTATTATACACACCCACCTTATTAAGCAGCCTATTTAAGCAGAGATAAATTTCCCATCAACCCCTTTGCTTGCACCTGTCGCCTCCAGGGGGGGTTACAAGTATTTGCTCATCACTCCCATCATATCTGTGTAATCATATCGGGGAGTGATTCAGTCGGAGTCTAGACGCGAAACACAAACTATGTTCTACTACCATAATAAACAGTTGAACATGAGTTTTCTGACTGAAATATCAAAGTTAGCGAAGTAATGTTGCAATCTCCTTCCAAGCAGATTTCTTTAGCATGCCTTTATTTATTCCATTTATTTGTGATATTATAATTACAGTACACATAAAATTACAAACTGTGATTTTCTTTTGTGAAAATAAGTACCCTAACAATATTTCATACTAAAAATCATTGATTAAATGCTAGTCTTGTTTGCTAACAATTGTATTCATATAGCCCTTTTGCTCAGAGCCCCATCTTTGCAGATACTTGGTTTCCAAACAGTGAGGAGAATGCTGTCGAATAAGCAATTTTATCCCATTTGTTTTAATGGGCATTAATGACTTAATGATAAACTTGTATTTCAAAAGTTATGTTATTTTGGTGTCATCAATGCTGTTGTGACATGTCATGTTAAGTATAATACGTAAAAATTATGAAAATTATTAAATCAACCTCGCACACTTATATTGTTCAGTTATGTTTGCAATTAATTTAAATACTTTTAAAGGATATGATTGTGCTATATAGGAAATTGATTTAAAGACTTCAGTGAAATAGTTGTTAGCTGTATATTGCTGAATATAGCGGAATATTGGGCCTGATCTACTAAAGGTTTGCACCCGTAAAAATGTGTGCAAACTTGATTTCACCTGCAAAAAAGACTTGCGAGCTGATTTACTGATGGTGCGCACTGAGGATTGCATGCAGAATAACACGCAGTGTCCATTTAGTATGTTTGCCTTAATGAAGACGCAATATCAGGCGCTTCTACCCGAGTGTGCAAAATATTGGGAGGAGTAGAATCAAATAGGATAATTTAGCACATGCAATGTGATTTACAAAAAAATGCGATGGTTGTGACTGCATCTATATTTAGTATGTTTGAAAGGTAGATGCTAATCGGCACAGCGTTACACACAGATGGCTGAAGTTATTGTGGTGTGGAGGAGTCGGCATGGAAGAAGATGGAGAGAACAGGTTTTTTCTGCTCGTGTTAGCATGTTTAGATTGACAGAAGCAAAAATAATTGCTCTCTTGTCAGGGTACTGATGGCCATCGTCACACTGTGTGCGCTACAATGGCCCGAGTGTCGTGCCTGAGCGCTTGTGTCACACAGGACACAGCTCTTACCTCCTGCTCAATATTGGTCAGAAGCATCTCTTCCACCGGCCCCCCCACCTGTTTTATTGCTGAGGTTTTATTATGAGCAATTTTCTCTTTTGTTCTACGTCTTATGTCCTGTCATCTTCTCTTAATTTCATAATTTTTTGTTTTACCCACAACCCACTTTCTCGCAGATACTCTCCCATATCCTGTTTCTTTGAGTTGTATTAATATTTCTTTGCTGTAGCTCAACAACATTCTTGTTTACCTCTTTTATTGATCCTGTGCACTCCACTCTCCGTAATGCTCCATGGACGAAACCAGTAATGCAGGCAAAACACTAAAATATGTATTACAGCCTCTACCATGTTTGCACCTGTTATCATTTGCACAATTGCACAAAACACCCACAAACAAACAAAACCAGCAATTTTTTATAGTGCAATTAAGCACTCTTTATTAGGTATCTTAATAGATCAGACCCATTATCTTAAAAACCATGAAAATACATGTATCTGTTTCAGAACTCTCATTCGAAGTTTTGAAAACATAACATATATACGAGTAAATATAATAGAATAAATTGATGAAAATTAAATATTATCTAAATCATTTCAACACAGTCAGGAAGTGGTTCTATTCAGAATGATGAAACATATGGCAGTGGGGGAGGCTGTGGCTGAGGGGTTAGAGTGGTCATCCTCTAACCAGGTGGGCTATTCGATCGCAGTCTTCCCCAATTGCATGCAAAAATGTGCTTGGGCAAGATTCTGAACCCCATATTGCCAGAATGAAATTGGTCAGAATGAAAGTTCAAGGGTGTTTATTTATCCAAAACACTGGATGGGAGATGTGGTTGGACAATGGATTATGAAGGATATATTTCTGTGAAGTCGCCAGCAAGAAGGGAAGGCAGGATGACCGAAGGGTTGAATGCTGTAGGAAACGAGGAGAAGCATGGTGAGTACAGGGTATAACAACACAAGAGAATAACTCTGTTACACTAAGCAGAGCGGTGAGAACAACTACCACTGTAGTTACAAGGATGAACTGGCGATGACTAGGACTAGACCAGGGTGTATATCCTGCCGGTGATCAGTGAATGAGCTGCAGGTGCGGTGGTAAGCTGTCCCTGGCAGCGCCTCCACAGAGCAATCAGCAATCAGTATCAGGGCTCAGAGGACAGCTGGAGACAGGCTTGATGAGAGATGTGTGAAAGGTTGGGTGTATTTTGAGGGCGGATGGGAGCTTGAAGCGAACCATGACTGGTTTAAAGACCTTCTCTATCTCATATGGACCCAAGAATTGGCCAACCGTGTGTCCTGGTGTGTATGTGGGAGGAGGGTGCGTCTCATTCCTGGTGGCTGTGCGGACCAACGCTGACTGAGCCCCCTCTTCAGATCCTATGGCAGCGGCACAGGTGGGACTGAATGGACGGGATGGCCACGTCCTCCTCCTGGGAAGGAAACAAAGGGGGTCGGAAACCACACATGAGGGTGAATGGTGACATACCTGTGGCAAAGCTGGTGAGGGAGTTATGGGGCTATTCCACCCACTCCAAGTGGGAACTCAAGGATGAACACAGTTTAGAGCTGCCTCCAGGTCCTGGTTGGTCTGCTCAGTCTATCCATTACTCTAGGGATGATAGTCGGAGGATAAGCTCACAGACACCTCTAGCGCCTTACAGAAAACCTGCAAAACTTGGGAGATGAACTGGGACCCCAGTCTGACATTATCTCCAGGGGTAGACTGTGTAGCTGAAAAAACATTCTTTGTCAGAAGATCCGCGGTCTCCAGGTCGGAGGGGAGTTTGGGGAGACAAAATGCACACCCTTAGACAGATGGTCAATGATGGGGAGTATAGTAGTGTTACCTGCCAATGGGGGGAGACCAGTGACGAAGTCCACAGCTATATCGTATGTTGCTTGATGAGCACTGGGTCTTTCTCTCTATTTCAACTTCAAGTGATGAAAGTTGGACCTACTAATCCTTTTTACTGTGTTTTAATCTACCATCCACCTGCCCTAACATCATGTTGACAATGTGTCTGACAATTTTGCCTCTAGTTTTTGACTCTCTATTATGCAGGAATCTTTTTATTACTGACTGTATTTTATTTTATTTGTAGAATCCCTACCCTGGCAATCATTAGCTCTCACATCCTTAACCACCTCTCTGCTGAAATGTTTAATGACACTTTTCATTTAAACTCTGATATGCACAGTGATGTTCAATGAACACTGCTCTGCAACATTGGATTAAATTGCCCCTATTAAAACTAGGTCTGCCCTTTTGATCAACTCTGCCCCTTGGATAAATAACAATATCCGCTGTCTTAAGAGAGACTGTAGGAGAGTGGAATGCTTACAGAAAGCCACCAGACTACACGTCCACTATGTTTATTTAAAGGAACTTTTAATGTCCTTCAATAACGCGATGAAGGATGCCAGAGCAACATACTTTTCTGATCTTGTATCTAATAGTCGGCCTAATCCCAAAAAATTTGTTTGACACCATTCATAATATTGTTACTCCTGCAATGCCTGCTGTCCAGATTTCTTTCTGTAACAATTTTCTCTCTTTCTTTGTGGGCAAGATAAATAACATCAGATTGAACATTGTCCCCTCACTTTCTCCTCCAATCACCTGCTCCTCTCAGCCTATGATCAACACTCCAAGATCTCACTAATTTGGTCAAATGAAAATCTCCTCCTGTCCCCTTGATATCTTCCCAACATCTCTGTTTAAAAATTTCATTATCTGGTCAAGTCCCTGCACAACTCAAATGGGATGGTATCAACCTCTTATCAAAAAAAGAAATACTGATCCTCCTCTACCCCAAAATAACAGGCCTATCGCCAAACTGCCTTTTCTTGAAAAAATTTTGGTGAAAGTGGTAGCTAAGCAGCTCATTACTGCAATTGATGAACACAATATCCTTGATAAGTTTCAGTTTGGTTTCCGCCGGTTGCACTTTATAGAAATGTCTCTTCTCAAATGATATCTTGACGCAGGGCGATGCAGGAGAATGTTCTGTGTCGGTTCTGTTAGATCTCAGTGCAGCTTTTGATACTGTAGACCACTGTAGAGAGAGTTGAGCAGTGGTTGGGTATCACTGGTTCAGCCCTGCAGTGGTTCTCCTCTCACCTTTGTGATAGGAGTTTTTCAGTATCTATTGGCAATTTTACCTCCTCATCTGAAACTCTGTTTGGTAGTGTGCCCCAAGGTTCAGTCCTTGGTCCTATCCTGTTTGCCTTGTATATGCTTCCCTTCGAACAGATAATAAGTTATATGTCTCTTTTAAATCACTCTTTTAAAACTGCCTGACTGCTATAAAGAACTGGATGACCGATAATTTCCAATTAAATGCAGATAAAAGAGAAGTCCTCATTTCTGCCCCTCCTAGTCTTGTGCAGAACATAAGGGATGATCTTGGTCTTCTTACCTTAATGGTTAAATTCTGCATAAGAAATCTATGTGTCAGTATGGACCAGGCCCTGACTCTGGACCAACACGCCAAATGTCTGATTCGCACTTGTTTTTTCCAGCTGAGAAACACTGGTTTTATATCATCCCATCTTGATTATTATAACTCCCTTTTCACCTGCCTCAGCAAAACTTTCTTGGATCGTTTACAAGTGTTTAAAAATGCTGCTGCTAAACTCCTTACCAGGTCCTCCAACGTTCTCATGTGACACCAATTCTGATTGCTCTTCACTGGCAACCCATTAAATTCAGAATCCGCTTCAAAGTTCCTGTGATCATCTATAGAGCTCTGCATGGTCAGGCCCCTGCCTACATTACACATCTGCTGCAGTCTACTGTATGTCATCAGCAGGTCTCTAAGGTCCTCTGATCAGGGTTTGCTAGTTGTCCCCCGATCCAGATTTAGGAATAAGGGAGACTGTGCTTTTGCTGTTAAACTTTGGAACTCTCTCCCTTTGGACTTAAGATCTGTAGACACTGTGGAAAGCTTCAAAAAGCAGCTTAAGACTCATTTGTTTAGACTAGCCTTTGTGTTATTGTCTATTTGTTTTTATTGTGTTTTCTGATTGTATTTCTTATTTGTATGCATGTACTCGCTTATTTTACCCTGTAAAGCATTTTGTGACATCTCTGCTCTCGAAAGGTGCTATAATATTATAGTTATAAATAAACGGACTTACTTATATGGGACCATGGAGAACTGGGGATGGGCAGTGGTCGAAACAGTCCAGAGGGAGGTTGGTGGGAGACCTTTCCGTGGGCTCAGACGTGCAGGCAGACACGTGCCCGCAAAAGAGCACTTGGGATCCGAGGGAGACAGGAACATAGAGGTGGTTAGGGGGGAATTGTTACCTGGGCCGGATCAGACTGCTGGGCCTCCTTAACCAGGGACTCCACCTCCCAGAAGGCAGCTGCCACAATGCATGAAGGAGGGAGGATGGACTCTGGAGGTTTGCTGAGTTCTCATGGGCTGTCTATAGGGAGAGGACATCAGGTTTCTGGTTGCAGGAACCAGGTCTGTAGGTTAGAGAGAATTTAAACATCCCCAAGAAAATGCCCACCCAGTTTGTTAAGGGTTTAATCTTTTAGCTGACTAAAGATAAGCCAGGTTCTTGTGATCATACACAATGAAAGGATGTTCCGCCTCCTATAACCAGAGTCGCCACTTTTTCAGAGCCAGCAACACCACCAGTAGCTTTCAGTTAACCACATCATGATTCTGTATGGCTTGAGATAGTTGATGAGGAAAAAAAAGCATAGGAGTGTGACTTGCTATCCCCGGAGAGCATTGGGAGAGGATGACAGGTTTCATCTTTGTGTCTGTTACAGTGATGTTGAGTTTCACAGACCTGTCCAGTTTTGCTGATCTTCCCCTGTTTACTAGGCATTCAACATTCCAGGGAATGTTGAAATGTACTGATTTATAATTTTAGTAACAAGATTATTAAATAATGGTGGACATGTAAATATTTATATTAATAATAAAACAAATGATTGTATTGAAATTATTGTAATTTGTAATAAGTCACAATAATATATAAATATTTACTGGCAATAGTAAAACATAGTACATAGACCAAATTACAAATTACATAAAAACATTTTTTTCAATAATACAGTACTTTTCAATATATCAGTAGGGGATTCCTGCAATATCAGAGGGTCTACTTTCAGGACCACATTTACCTCGTTGTGGCTCTGCCATGCAACATTGCCAAATTGGATAACCAAGGACCGCATTTCCAAGACAAAATCAATGATGAGCTTTATACTATGAATTACAATACAGTAAAATTACAGCACTTTACTGTTAATTCAAATACAGAAAGTTGCTGGCAACTGTACTTCCAGTAATTTATTGTAAATGAAAAAAGGATTTTTTTTATATAAATGGTAGCCTTTAAGAGAGTGTGTAACCACCACCACACTGAATTTAACTGTTTTAAATGAGTCACTGTCACTGAGCTTTAGGAATTAATGTATCTACCATTCTGTTTATGTATGCTTCATGTGGTTATTCTGTGTTGCCACTGTTGCAGGTTGCTGTAGCAAGGATGCAAAGCACACAACAAGTGTACGCTCTGAAGATTATGAATAAGTGGGACATGCTGAGGCGAGGAGAGGTACACACACAAATCTGCACTCACATACACAGGACTAAGAACATCGCCAGTTCTCTCAGTGTATATGCAGGACTGAGAAGGAAGAAAAAGGAAGGAAAGTAATGGGGATACATGCTGTTTGATTTAACATGTATCTGTTCCTATTTGTGGCTTTTATCCAGTTTTTTGTCTTATACAGACAGGATGTTACCAGGAGGAGAGGGAGGTTTTACTGAGGGGTGACAGACGCTGGATCACAGAATTGTACTATGCCTTTCAGGATGACAACTATCTGGTGTGTATCAACATGCCCAATCAAAAATGTCAAGTTAACATATTGTATGTAAATACACTGTGTTGTTTGTTTGTGTAGTAGTGCATACTGTTTTTAACTTTAATCCAACTGCCATTTCCCTTACTCATCCAACCTCTCTCAGTACCTGGTAATGGATTATTATGTAGGAGGGGACCTGTTGTCTCTGCTCAGTAAATTTGGAGACAGGATCCCTGAGGACATGGCCCAGTTCTACCTGGCGGAGATGGTCATGGCCATTGAATCTGTCCACAAACTGGGTTATGTGCACAGGTAGATTATTCTCCCTCACTTATATATATCACAGTTCCTCAAGAGCTTTAAAATGAGGGGGATACCTTGTAAACATGCTATGATGTTATTAAATGAAACCAGTTGCCCTTCTACTCTGTTCGTTACAAAGAGACATCAAACCTGACAACATCCTGCTGACAGCCGATGGACACATCAGACTTGGGGACTTTGGCTCCTGTCTCAGGCTCTTAGATGATGGGATGGTGAGAGTTGACATTTACATAAAGGCTTCAATTTCAAAGATACTCATTGCTAGCAAATAATTGTTTCATCAGCAACAGTTTATCACAACGGAATAACTTTGGAAATATGGGTCAGGACCACTTTTGCTTTTGTTGTTTTCATTGCAGGTTCACTCTTCTCTAGCAGTCGGGACCCCTGACTATTTGTCCCCAGAGATCTTAAGAGCAGTAGAGGGAGGTGGAGGTTATGGTCCTGAATGTGACTGGTGGGCTTTGGGTATTTGTGCCTATGAAATGCTGCTGGGGACCACACCCTTCTACGCAGATACCCTCTCTGAAACATATGCCAAGATTATTCACTTCAAGGTAAACAAACAAATCGACACAAATTTATCAATCTCTCTGTCTGTCCATCTGTCCACTTATCTATCTAGAATCAAATTTTGTAATTGTATGTGCAATTTAAAGATAAGTTCTGGTTGAGGGGTAGGTTAGTAAGAAAACAATCACCAATAGGATGAAGTGGACCTTTCTTGTTCAGGAACTATAGACAGAGTTTGTTGAAGAAAGTCTATATAAGCTAAGCTAAATTATTTATCCAGAACCCCAAATAGCGACCACTGACCACAGAAAATTACCTATTTAACAGATGAAACTGAGAAAATAGATGGACTGCTAGATGGTAACTTCAAACCATGATTAGGGTTTTGGGGGGATATTTATATATTATTTGTATATGAATAATAACAACTAAAGTAACAAATAAAAATCACTAAATACAAAATCATCTATCTGTTTTAACAGTATGAAAACTATTTGTGTGTATCAGATTTATGTGTATCAGATTTCGTATTACTGGACTATAAGCCTTTTGGCAGAAACTCCTACAGCAGATGTTTATCTGATAGTGCTGTAGCCAAATTTAAGGAAGTGATTCCTTCAGTATTGAATTCAATGCCATTATTCAATGTAGAAGAGGAATTGTCTGCTTCCTTTAGCCCCTCACAAATAGATCATCTTGTTGATAGTACTACAGGCTCATTACAAACAACTCTCAACTCTATTGCACCTCTGAAAAGAAGATCATTAAACAAAGGAGGTTAGCATCATGGTATAGCCATCAGACTCGCAGCTTAAAGCAAGACGCACATAAATCTGAACGTAAATGGCATGCCACTAAACTGGAAGAATCTCATTTAGTCTGGCAAGATAATCTTAAAACATACAGGAAGGCTCCATAATGCCAGAGCAGCCTATTACTCATCATTAATAGAGGAAAATAAGAACAACCCCAGGTTTCTCTTCAGCACTGTAGCCAGGCTAACAGAGAGCCACAGCTCCATTGAGCCGTTTATTCTGTTAGGTCTAAGTAGTAATGACTTTATGAGCTTCTGTAATGATAAAATTATAACTATTGGAGACAAAATTCATCACCTCTTGCCCTCAACAGGCACTGATCTGCATTCTTACACAGCAAGTTTGAAAACAGCTGTAAAACCCGATATATATTGTGACTGTTTTTCTCCTATCGACCTTCATCAAAAAACTTCAATAATTTCTTCATCAAAGCCATCAACCTGTCTCTTAGACCCCATCCCAACCAGGCTGCTCAAGGATGTTCTACCTCTAGTTAGCCCTTCTTTATTGGATATGATTAATCTGTCTTTATTATAAGGATTTGTACCACAGTCCTGTAAAGTAGCTGTAATTCAACCTCTTCTTAAAAAGCCCACTCTAGATCCAGAGGTTTTAGCCAATTACAGACCAATATCAAATCTTCCCTTCCTCTCTAAGATACTTGAGAAAGCTTTAGCCAATCAGCTGCGAGACTTTCTCAATAAGTACAGTTTATTTGAGGATTTTCAGTTAGGATTTAGAGTGCATCATAGCACAGAGACTGCACTTGTCAAAGTTACAAATGACCACCTAATGGCATCAGACAAAGGACTCATCTCTGTACTTGTCTTGTTAGATCTCAGTGCTGCATTCTACACCATTGACCATCAAATTCTTTTACAGAGATTGGAACATCAAATTGGCATCACAGGAACCGCCTTAAGCTGCTTTAAGTCCTATTTTTTAAATCGCTCTCAGTTTGTTCATGTCAATGATGAATCCTCCATGCATAGCAAAGTTTGTCACGGAGTCCCACAAGGTTCTGTGCTAGGACCACTACTATTCAGTTTATATATGCTTCCTTTAGAGAACGTTATTAGGAATCACTCCATTAATTTTCATTTTTATACCGATGACACCCAATTATAGTTATCAATCAAGCCTGATGAAAACAATCAGTTAACTAAACTTCAAGAATGTCTTAAGGATATAAAAAGTTGGATGACCTACAATTTTCTGATGTTAAATTCAGACAAAACTGAAGTTCTTGTAATTGGACCCAAAAACCTCGGAAACTCTCTTTCTAGAGACTTAGTTACTTTAGATGGGATCACCCTGGCCTCCAGCTCCACCGTTAAGAATCTCTGAGTTGTTTTTCAGATCAGGATCTGTCCTTTAATGTCCACATAATAAACATTTCAAAGACTGATTTCTTCCACCTACGTAACATCGCCAAAATTACCACTCTTGTTATTACTATTAGTCATAATTCTATGAMATTAATATGAACTTGTTTATAATTATATCATTGTTATATATTACCACCACTGCTAACCACTGCTACTGTAATCATTGTCTTTCATTGTAATTGTACAATATTTTTCTGTTGCGTTGTTCTGTACACGTGACATCCATTGCACGTCTTTCCGTCCTGGGAGAGGGATCCCTCCTCTGAGGTTTCTTCCACCTTCTTTTCCCTGTTTAAAGGGGTTTTTTGTGGGCAAGTTTTTCCTCTCTTGAGTGTCACTCCCTGTACAGATTGTAAAGCCCTCTGAGGCACAATGTGTTTTGTTAATTTGGGCTATACAAATAAAATTTGATTTGATATAGTTGTGTTGTATTATGTCTTTTCTTTTCTTAAAACTCCAGGAGTATTTTGAGTTCCCTCCCTCTGGCCTTGAGATTTCAGATAAGGCTCATTCATTCATCACTGGGCTCATCTGTGAGAGGGAAATCCGTCTGGGGAGAAAAGGCTCCAGTGACTTCAGGAGCCATCCATTCTTCTGTGGACTAGACTGGAATTCCCTGAATCAACTCTCTGCACCATTCCTGCCTGATGTATCTAATCCTACAGACACCTCCAACTTTGACATTCTGGATGACTCTCTAAGCGAAATGGTATATTTTTAGAAAATGTTACTCTCCACGTCTTAGTCTATGAATGTCATGGAATCTTCAGGAGTTCTGCATGTGTACATGTACAACTGGGTGTGCCAGTGTTTCTTAAAAACATTTTGCAAATGACCGACTGCATGTTTAACACAACAATAAAATTTTAGAAATCTCTTTGATGAGAGTCCATTTGCCTGCGTACAATTCCATCATACAATTGGTATGTAAATTGATATTGGTTATGTTCTGCAGGAGACACACTCTGATGTAATGGAAAGAGCACCAATAGGAGTCCACTTGGCTTTTGTCGGATACTCTTACACGGCTACGAGGTGAGCTGAATATATGACTTATGTTTTATAGGCATCTCTAACTGACGTCCTCTGTATGTGATCTTCCAGGGTGTTGTTTGATTGTTCTCTCTTTTATAGTCAAACGGGTGCCATAGACCGCAGCCACAACATCATGATGCAGATTGACCACACAAGGCTCAGGGACTGTGAGAGACTGTATACAGATGAGAAAGTGGTGAGACATAATTACCCTACAGACTGTATAGATTGTTATCTTACAGTAGTTATTTCAGAATCCCATGTGTAGCATTTCGACAAGACACATTTTCACGTAATGATAACAAATAATGTTTCGCTTGTTTTCCTTTTCAAATTCAAATTCAGAGCCAGCTGTTGCATCTCATCGATGCTCTGCCAGACAACCTGCCTGCATTGCTGAAGCTCCCACTCACTCTGGAGCAAAGTTGTACTGTGTCCACCCAAACTACCACTGAGGAAGAGGGGAATACTGACAAAATATCAGATCTTGATGAAGACCTGCAGCGGTATCATCTTACACAAATTCCATTTTAAAATAATCTATCTGCGTACCAGTCAGAATTTGAGCAAGAGTACCAGTCAGCTTCATTGGCACATACAGTGGTAATATTGGTGCTAATGGTAGAGAGGAGCCTTCTTGGTTATGTTGGTATGTTTTAATTTCAAAAGGGTGTTATCAGCATTCACAGAACAGGCCTACAACCAAGTACAACACCTTTTCCAATCATATTTTAACAGCCATTGAGAGGAATGGTAGTGATTGGCCTCCCTAGATTCAGGCCAGATGTGAATTGGTCTGAAAGGGTAGGGGGGCTCACTCATAGGATAAGTAAATGATCTGTATTTATATAGCACTTTTCTAGTCTTGATGACCACTCAAAATGCTTTACAATACAGTTTATTGCCAGTCACCCATTCACACACAATTTAATACAGAGCAGCACTTTTTTTCTATGAGGGGCCATTCAGAGTTCAGTATCTTGGCCAAGGACACTTTGGGGATGTACAAGACTGGGATCAAACCATTTACTTTCTGTTTAGAGGACGACCGCTCTACCCATCAGCCACAGCTGCTGAAATTTGAAAGATGAACAGCAACTACAAGAAAAAACATTTTCTTTGAGACTTACAAACCCTGTATAAACATTTTATTTTAAGTATCAGGAACAAAAATCCTGCACATGAAAAATGTGAGCTATCACTATAACTATGGTTCTATGAGAAAGAACGATGCCTGTTACAGCAGTCTTCATCTTGAATGGTGCCATATCAGACCATATGTCAACAAAGTCATGTGACTAACATTAGGAGCCCATAAAAGCACCCAAATGAAGCCACCTCCTACTCGTGGAATGCCTCAGCCTGTTTGGAGCAAAAAGAGATGGTGACCGTCATCGTTTGGTCTCTTAGATCCATAGTTATAGTCATAACTTAATATTTATTTTGTATAGCCCATATTCACAAATCACAATTTGTCTCATAGGGCTTTAACAAGCTGTGACATCCACTGAGATGACTATGTAAAACCTGGAATACATGCTGGGAGCCCTCCATTTTGCTGCTGTTCAGATTTACAAAAGAGGAACTCCTCTAAAAGCGGCCCAAGAAGTGGCCTCACTTCTAGTGGAGTGAGTAACCAGACTTTCCGGGACCGCAAGGTCAGAGATAGTGATAGCAATTCAATGAGATAAACACTGTTAAGATACAGTGAGCCCCAACTTTCTGCCACTAAACAAACAAAAAGTTGAGAGAGTAAAACCTGCAGCAGCTGTGTGCACGAAATGTAAGCCCTTAGCACCCTGGGGGAGAGCCGGATCAAGCTAGAAAGCACTGATCTCAACCCTAGATTTACCCTCTGATTGCTCAGAACTTTACGCAGAAATGAGGGATTTGTCCACAGAAGGGCACCTGTGTTATCAGCCTTCCATCTCAAACATTCTTGACTTACAGACAAGGCATATAACTAACTCAACCTCTTGGTGGAACATATAGCCAAGAGGAAAGCTATTTTGTGAGACAGGAACTTAGTTGAGTTAGGGATTGTAGCACCCATGATGGAGCCATGAGAGCCCTGCTTGGACACAGGTGGAATCAGCGCATCAAAATCCAAGGGACCCCCCTGACACTCTGGGCAGAACAACATCCTGCAATGGGTTGTGTCCACAGAGGCAAAAGCAACAACAGCCACGGCAGCTGAAATCATGTCCAACAGGTTCTGAAAATACGTTGACTCGGCTGTCTACCAAGACGGAATTGATCCTGGGGAGCTAGCATTTTCATCACCCTCTGTTTAAATTTCCTTAAAATGTGAGCTACTCTCACCCCTCAAAGTCCCCAAAAAACCTCCTACCACGGCTCAAAGAAGCTTTTTGTCAGATTGACTTTTAATCCCAAGGACAGTATGTGTGAGACTACTGTCCTTGTATCCTCATTTAAATATCTGCTTATTTTTATCCCTGATAAATTCAGAGGGGACAAGGCAGGCCCGACCTGGTGAACACTCTTGATGAGAGGGACAAGCCAGATGGAAGTGAGTGGGTGAAGTGTTTTAGTCAACAAATCACATAGGAGAGTTTAACCCTCCGTTACTTAAATGCCCTCAAGAATAATAATAAGGCAATTGCACACTAGTGGCAGATTGCTGACAGTGGAGTCCCAAACATTAATGTCTTACCTTCAGGTCTCAGATGAGGCGAGTAAAGCATCAGATAAGAGGAGTGGCTTCATCTGGGAGCCAAGCCTCCTAGGGTCAGTCACATGACTTTTTTGACTTATGGTCTCGAGGATAGGTAGATGACGGCATCATTTAAAGCATGTGGTGATGGTCTGAGTGAGGTTGTAATAGATCTCAGTTTACTTGAAGAAACTCTGGAATCATGTTGTAGAACAATTTTCATGTCAGTATATATTTATCATATTTAAATAATTACCTTTTATCTGACCTGAAAAGGTCCTCATTGCAAACCTCTGGCCTCCTGACTGCCAAGGCTTTATTACTACTGATGACTTACCTTGACTTTGACTTAACATTAAAAGGTTAGCATTAATTTAAGAATTCTGTAGAAGGAAACCAAAACTGAAGCGATATGGTCTTATTTCCTGTATCCAGTTAAATAGAGAGACATGACTATAATGCACTGCATTGGGCTGGAACTGGAATGTTTATCACATTGTCTGGATATGTAAGCAGAAATTGTTTACCTCTAATAAAACTTTCCTCAACTGGAGCAATTACAAGTATAAGTGAATTATATTCTGAAGGGATTCAGATAAACTAAAACTCAAAGTCTTTACTTCTTCATCAACCAGCAGGTTACAGGAGGCACAGAGGACACACTGTGAGTTGGAGAAAGAAATGGAGAGATTGAAATGGGAGATGTCAGGCTGGAATGTCTCCAAGGAAACAGGCAAGGGATCAATTTAATTCAGTTGAATCATATTCAAACCAATTGTATAGCGCCAAATCACAACATATATTTCTTCAAGGCACTTTATATATTAAGGCCAAGACCTGACAAAACTATAGAGAATTCCACAGTTCCCAAAATGAGCAGAGCAGAAAAAAATTCAGTGCTTCTCCCAAAGACTCAATGTGGCCAAACACCAGCCTCAACTGTTTGGGGTGAGAAGAGAAAAATAGGGAAGAGAGGAGAGAACATGGAAAAGAGGGGATGTGGAATGAAAATAATGATACTTTCAGATGTAATGATGTTATCAACGATAGCAGTACCAGTTAGTCGTATAACCTTCTTTCACTCTATTATGCCACAACATCATAGGAACCGTAGCCATGGAACATCCTTCATTCAAAATTCCCTTTTAGTATTATGCAACCCCTGTTTTCAGAATGTCAAGTATTTCAGTAACATTACCTAATCACATAGACGTCCATTAAACCCAAGTACTACTTTACTCTCCTCAGTATTATAAGAACAACATAAATGTGAGGCAGAATGAGTTCTGGACAATATGAGACACTTTGAAAAAACACAGTGCTGCACAGTGCCTGCAGCATCTGCTTATATTGGAGGCCTCAGTCAAGACATGGTGGTAAACACCCACTGTAAGAATAGCCTGGGTATGCCACTTGGACGGCCGTTCCCATTAATCAATACAGTGTCATGTGCTTTTTAAACATGCAGCGTTGATGATTTCTCTAATGCTGGACTAATAGGGAACTAATGCAAAAGCATGTGGACAAAAAGCATGTACTGTACTTCACTCTGTGTAATGAAAAACACAATATTCAGATGCTTGCTTCAATTGAGTCACAGCTGTCTCTGTCCCTCCTCTGTTCCCTCCTTCCACACTCACTGTAACCCCTCTTATCACCACAAATATGCAGTGTTCTGGGTTCTGTTCCTTTTCTTTGTCTTACTACAAATCTGGAAAACCAGCAGTGCATACCAAGAATAAATGCCTGCAATTGCGCTGCTGCACAAAATGGGTTCTGACGTTCCTCTCTCTTGTCCAATCACAGAGCTGAGTATCTGTCCAGCATCTTTTGCTCTGCCTGCCCACTGTATGGACATACCAGGGGATGTAAGCTTATATTTATTCCACTTCATTTCTCCTGCCTGATATAAAGACAAAAACTGTTTTTACTTAGTGTATGAGGCAAGAACAGATTTGCTGATTTCTTATTTCTGTTTGTGTAATGTAACTATATTTTACTGTAACTTTGGATCTTAAGTTTGAATATTGGTCTAGTCATTGATGAGAAAGTTTGATTGAATATGGCTATTTGTTCATCTTTTCTGTCTAGAACGAGCTATTTCATTTAAGTTTAATGCTGGCGGTACTGTAGGTTTAAGAGGCAGCATCCTTGCAGGCTGGCAAGGGTGGTGTCATTTAGCTGAGTGTGAACGTCAGACCAGCAGTGGAGACACACATTTTTTACTGTGTCCCGTCCTGCATTGTTTTGAAAGCCAGGTTTATGGATACTTGAGTGACACCTGTGGAATAAATTTGTATCTTTTTTCTAACTTTACCTGGACTTCTAGTGGATTTTTAAGAAACAGTTTTTGGACATGTGTAAGCCAGGAATACCTGCTAGTCAACATTTGCCAATACACTTAGCATGTAACTTGGTGTGGTCTAATTCTTTTAAACCTTTAACAAAAGAAGCTTAACAAAGACCAGGTTTGATAATGGGCAAACAGAGTGTCTGTATATGAAATATGTACAGTATGCTAAGATTTTGTTATGTTTCTACATACAGTAGCAGCTGTCTGCTCACTGGTCTCACTTGTATGTGTTACAGAGGAGGAGAGCGCCCCCAGTCTGCCAGTACCCGCTGGTGATTCCTCTCCACCGTCACCTGCTCCTCTTTCACAGGGTACAGACAAAACTGAAATCTTGATTTAGTTGAAAAGATACAGATACTATATCGTATGTATTTAGAATCCTTTAATTTATGCAAGAAATTTCCAAGAATTAACATTTGAAAATGTACTCATCAAGATAGAAAGGCCTTTGAAGTTGTGTTGACATCAACATCTCTGTTATTACTATCATTATTATGATATATTATTATTGCTCTTCCTATGGACATACGTTCTGCAATCTCTGTTGATGCCTTTAAAAATCAGTTGAAGACTCATCTTTTCAAACTTGCCTTTCTGTCACCTTGTTATGCTTGTGATTTAGTTTTCGGTTTTGTTTGACAGCTCTTTGAAAAGTACTTTGTACCTGTTCTGTGGAAGGTTCTATATTAAAGGTACAGTGTGTAGAATTTAGTGGTGAAGTTGCATGTTGCAGTTGAACACCCCTCACCTCACCCTCCCCTTCCAAACATGAAAAAGAAGGGGCCATTCTAGGGTAAAAAATTACAATTTAGATGATCACACACTAGTGAGAACTTCACTGGTATTATTTTCTGCAAGTAGATCACTTTCACCTAAATCTTACACAATGAACCTTTAAATAAACTTAACTTACTTAATATTATTTCATTTCTAGTTTTATCGTACTATCGTATGTTTGTATTGATTTAATCAAATGACCAAAACCAGCTTGTTGTTTAATTTGATTTAATTTTTAATCTAATTTAAAGACACAATGGTGTTACTGTCTGTTTTGTTTTTATTTTCTTTGTTTTTTGCCCTCCAGGTTCACCTGCCACAGGTGACAAGTGAGTCATACTTGCTAGTGTGTGCAGAATGGGGGGAGGTCGAGGCCTGGGAGAGACACTGTTACACCGAGGTCTCCTGAGACCACAGCGAGGTGTCATATGCTGACTTCTCCCATTCCAATGGCACAAAGTAATAATCATCTGCTATATGCTTACTCCCTGCCCCACTCTTCACCCTCGTCAACTTCCTGTGACCAGAAGGAAAATGAAGGACTAAAAGCTTCTAATGAGAACCTCCTAACATTTATTTACTGTAGGTGTGACATGATGTGAGAGGCAAGCTGGAAGCTTATAAGGAAGAAATGACAAGGAATTTTTCTGACCAACTTTGACTAACCAGACTGAAAGTTATGATTGAGATGCACTACTAACATTGCCTGTTACCAAACACGCAAAATTTCGTGTCTAAAGTAAAAATGCTACTGTTCTTCAACCATTTGGATTAGACCAACCACAGTAACTGAGGCACAACAAAGCAGAAATGTGCATTTCTCTTGAATGACCTATTTTTTTGGCATAAAAGACAGAATATCTGTAAATGGTCTGTATTTCTATTAGTGGTGAGAATCTCTAGGCACCTCACTATTGGTTTGATTCCAAATCAGATTCGATCATAAAACGATTATCAATGCATCTCGATACATGAAAGAATTTTATTTCTATACATGATTAATTTTTTATCACTGTTAAAGGTGGGCATCTTCCCTAGCCCCATGATTTGTGTGTTTAAAAAGTATTTTAGACTGTTACTGTTGTTACAAGTGTGCTGTAATTTACAAAATAAGGTTTTCAATTTAAATATCCCACTACAACAGTCAGTCTATAACAGTGGTTAGTGCTCTCCACATTGATTTGACATTTATTCAGTTTAGACTTGTGTGCTGCATCTTTAGCTTTAATGTATCAGTCGTGGCCCTCTTTGGCAGCATTGAGGCACAATACTCCGGTTAACAAGAGGTCACTTTCACCCTGATGTCCTGGCTGTGCTTGTCTAGTGTTGTATGTAGCAGTCGTTGTGCACATCTTTAAAAACATCCCTCATAAACTCTCAAGCGAATCACCAAACAAAAAATAAACATCAGCATTGTTCAGGTCCTGACTCCTGATCAGTGTTGATGGTTATTGTTAAAGTGGAAAGTGAGCACAGGTCAGTAGGAGAGTGGAGGGAGGACACAGTAAAAGGCAACCGGACCTGTGCGTCTGTCTTGATCCTGAAGCAGTGGTGGTTATAATTATGCAGCAGCGTGACATTGCTAAAAAACTGGGATTGACCCGCCAACCTTCTGGTTAGAGGACGACCCGATGTACCTGCTCTGACTGATATAAATCGTTGCACCTGATTTGCCGGGTAATTCGACCCTATCACAAACATTGAGAATTGTTTATATTAATAGTTTCTCCTTGATTGCCTTATTTGCTGTTATAGGTCCTAAAGTGGCAGCAATATTAAAATAAATATCTGTCTTTGTCTTGCCAGAAGGAATAAAATTGTAAATTTTAAAATGTGTGTTCAAAAGGCATGAGCATAAAAGCTTTCATAAAGTTCCCCCTCGGAGTTGTAGGTTTTAGTTTTCCATCTTATTGATATAGTTTTGTTCATCATCTGTAAAGATAATTCTTGCTTGTTTTATGATGGCCACTCATCATCAAGCTAATTAAGCCCACTTAATGACAACCTTTTGTTGGCAGTGTTCACTTTTACCTGTGCTTTATGTTACATTGTGCTTGTTGTATCCTCACAGAAGTTCAACTGTAAAATATACGTACATGTAATAGCTGATTTTTTTATTTGAGTGGTTGTCCAGTTATAAATCTGTGTGGACCCTTTTGGTCTTACTGTTCCAACTTCTGGCTGAGTCAGGCATAAGAGTAACTTAAGTTAGGTGACCTGTTTTATACAGTTCAAAAAATGCTCAGATTTAAAGTCTGTATTATGTCTTTCTGATATGCATTTTTTTGGGATGCATGGTGTTGGATTTATGCTGATATCTGATATGCCGATATCTTGTAACTAAATTTGTCCGATTGCCGATGCAGGTACAGATGTATGCACGTTTTCCACATAACGGCAGAGAACATGAAGTCTCTGCTGTCACGGCATTAGCATAGTATTTATGCCAACTTGTGTCTTGATGGCCAAATGGCAGATGCAGACATATGTGTGCTTTTAAAGTTGTACACATTACTTCAACTAAGGTCACATGGAAAACATGTTATTTATTTTTATTTAACATTTTCAAACAAAACTGTAGAAATGATCCTACTTTAACAGACTAGGATGATGTTCTCCCTGAGGTGATCCTAACAATAGCCACAACCAGGGACGCCTGCCAGCATCATTATAGGGGAGATTCTCGGACAAAAAAAAGGGCTAGTCCCCTGAGAACCATTGCTGATGATTCCGACAAACCAAGCTGTGTGGACACTTTATAACCCAATGACATTGGTAGCATTGGGTATGAAAAGATACTAAAACAGATAATGGTTTGATTCTATTGGCCAGGCATTTGAGGAGACTTGTACTGCCAGTGCACATCTTGACCATGAGATTGAAAGCCTGATTAAACGTCTGAATAAAACATTGAAGTCCATGACCCGTAAGTTTGTGCATATGAATGACTGAAACTGGGATAGGTGCCCACGGCTTTTTCTCCCTTTGAAATGGTGTTTGGCAGAAAAACACGGGGGTGCTGGAACTGGTTTCAGAAACCTGGTAGGATGGTCCTAGCCCCAGTAAAAATAGGTAAGTCCTGGATCTGAGAGCAAAACTCCCACACATTGGGTCAGTTATCATAGAGGAATTTTCTCTGGGCCCAGGAACATTAACAGCTTCTGTACAACAGAGTAAATAATGTTGCTCTCCTTCAGTCTCTCTTAATTTTTGTGGATTCCCATTTTCCTGCTTCATTGGTGCTCATTTGTGTGAGTGTGTGTCGGTCAGCAGCAGCCTCCTCTCAGTTCAGCTGCTACTGCATTTAAAGGAGGAGATGATTAGACAACTGTGTCAATCAACTCACCTGTTACTGCTCCTGCCGAGCCAGCTCCATACATTCTCTCTACCACAGCTGAGTGCCGAACCAAGCCCACCTCCACATACCCCCACCGCCCGAATTAGACCAGGGAGCTATCTGGCCTAGTCACCTCCACCCCCCTACCCCTCATGGGAGCGGGAGAGGAAGTCTGGAATGGCCATCAGCGCCCCCAACCTATGGACCACATTGAAATTAAATGGCTACAGAGCCAGATATCAACTTGTGATCCGGGCTTTGGCCTCCTTCATGCAGTGAAGCCACTGGAGGTGGGCATGGTCCGAATACCTGTGAATGGGCATCCTAGCAGGTAATATCTTAGGGTGTCGACTGCCCACCGGATGGCCAGGCACTCCTTGATCGTGCTGTACCCTGACTCCCTTTCAGACAACTTCCGGCTTATGTACAGCTCTAAATAAATTGGTTACAAAACTTGGCGAGAAATTGTGAATGTCATTGAACATTAAGTTTCATAAATTTGACGTTTGACATTTTTGAGTGCTTAAAGAGATATGGATCAATTAAGATAATTTTTTCAGCTGATGATTCCACCAGTAAATATTACAAAAACCTGATTGTTGAATTTTCACATGTTTAGCTTAGGGCTTAGAACCATTGTTGCCATATAACCACCCCTCACACAATGTGCCAGATGTCACATTTCATGTAAAAACACAAGCAAGTGAGTACACAGCTACACTTAGTAGTAGCTGCACAACAAAGTACCTCAATGAATTAAAGAAACTATAGCGAGCAGTAGTGACACAACCTTGACGAAAGCTTAAAAGACATGATGAGTCACATCATTGAACAAGTGGAGGAGGAAGGAAGTGATTATAGAGACATTAAACCATCACTTGAACTGGCAGATCCCGTGTCTGACCAGCAGGAGAAGCTGTCTCCATCAAAACCTATACATGATTCAAGTACCAAAGAGCAGTTTTCCTCCCTGGAAATTACTTAAACTCACCTGAAATACAAAGAGTTATGGTTGAACACATTGTGAGAAAGGAAGATATAAGCTCCCACTCACTGGCTGCACTCTGGGAAGTGTCCTAAACCCATTAGTGAAGCAGATTATTTGGAGGCAAGTATTGGACACTATCCAGTCACTCTTCCATGGATTGACAACTGCCTTTACATAGCCTGAAGTACCCCATCTGTTACACCACAGCTAATTACTAACACTCAGCCAGTTCCATGTCACGGACATACATAAGATAACTTCCTCTTTCCACTCTACTATGGTGAGCACCATGCAGCTGCAAAACTCAGTGTTCTCCATGTAAATAACATCTTGGATCAGAAGTCAGCTTTTTTTTTACCCTTTTGTTAGAAGTTGCTGAGGCCCAACACTCAGTTTGATGACAAGCTAACCACACCCGATAGAGTAAACTGAACGTCCCTGCCACTTCAAGTGATAGGAAAGTGAACTATTTTTTTATGTTTTGGTTTCTCCCTCTATGAAAATATATGACTGAACTGAACTAAAAGAATGAACTGAAAACATATGTATGAAATCAAAATAGTGTATAGTGTATTTTTTGTATTACTGCTTATTTCTGTGGTTTAAAAAAGTGCAATACAGATTTAATGTGTCATGGCATTCAAAAATTGGGCTCCCTCCGAACTTAATCAGTTGGTTACACATGTGTGAGAGTGGCTATCTACAGAGGGTTTATTTCACCTTCTCAAATGCCAGCTGGCACTACTCCGTCCACTGGACCGGATCTGAGGCACCTTACGGGTAAACCTCCGGTAATACCCGACCAGCTCGAAAAACCAGGCAATTGCTGCAGTCCTGTCTACCTGCAGCCACACCTGCCCACCGCCCCAGATACCGTACCTTCCTCTGTTCAACTGCATACTGCCACAGGGACTCGAGCACTGGCCACAGCTCCGCCCAGCTGTCACTAATAGGCAGCATATGCAGCATGAGGATGCAGCATCCACTCCATAACCCCAATTGGAGTGTCATAAATTGGTAAAAACCATTCAGAGCGGAGAAAGCAGTCCTTTCCTTGGAATCTGGAAACAAGGGAATCTCCCTTGTCAACTTAATAGCAGCCAGTGTGCACAGCTCCGATAGTTTGCATTCATACTCGATGTAAGCTTTGTGATAGCGGTCGGGAGAAAAATTCCGAGTTGTTTGCCTGAGTTAATGGCATGCTCTACATTAGTCTCCATCAGGTT